CAGGAGCGAACAGGTGGGTCGCCCCTGCCGGAGTCTGGCCGCGCCTTAGCCCCGACCATAACCCTCCACGCAGAGGCAGGACGGGCTGTGGCTGCGGTGAGGCCTGGGTCTGCTGTCCTTACGGACATTGAGACACAGACCTCCCTGAGCCCTGCTGCACCTGCCCTGCGGGGGCCTTGAAGCCATCCCTCTGACCCAGGGCTCTGGGACAGGCGACGGACGGAGGTCGGGGTGGAGTGGGGGGGCTCCGGGGCTGATGTGGAGCCCAGGGCGGCTGCCTCTGTGTCCCGGCGAGCACGCGCACAATGAAATGGACAGCGCTCCCCGGACGTAGGGCCAGGTTCCAGCTGAGCAGGATGCCGGTGCCTGCAGGCTGTTTGGCCTCTGAGGCAGGCTTCCCATTATTATGGAGAGGAACGGCTTCTAATGATTGCAATAACGGCACTGCTCCCAGGGCACAATTCCTAAAGAGAGACTGCAGGGCTGAGGGGATCTGAGCGCAGGTTCCCAGGAGCACAGACAGGACAGGAGTCCAGGCCAGAAGCCCAGCGCCCAAAGCCGTCACTCTCCTGCTGGCTGCGCTCACGGGGCTCCGCCTGGCAGACAGCGCCCCCAGCCCGGCTGTCAGCCTGGAACGCCCGCAAGCTCGGGCAGCCCTGCGCTGGGATTTTCCTCCTTGTACTACACGGATGTCACCCCCTCCCAAGGCCTCTGGGACGCCAGGCAAATTACAGCCACGGTCTGATTTCACTGCGGAATCAGACCCCAGTGCCTGTGGAGGAGACACCGAACGTTACGCCTGTTTGAGTGGAATGTTCTCACATGTTAGACTCCATCTGATTGTACTGTGGGGATCAGGCGAGCATGGGCGTGGACTTCCGCCTGGGAGATGCTGTGGATACCTCGCCGGGCCTGGACACTGTCCCCGCGGCCTGGAGTGCCCGGTTCGAGGTTCCCGACCCAGCGCCTTCCTCAGCTGTTTGGCTGGGGAGCACCCGGTGCTTGCTCCTCCCCGGACCTCCCTGCCCCTGGGGTGACTCCCTGGGGTGACCCCCACTTGGTTGTAGTGTAGAATTCTCTCCACACTTTTTTGGATTCAATTTGCTAATATTTTGTTGAGGATTTTTGCATCAATGTTCTTTCAGAGTCGGGTGGGGCACCTGTCATCTGCCCAGGGCCACGTGGATACTTATGTCATCATTCATGGGCCACACAAAATTACCCACTTAGAAATCAGCCTGCTGTATTGGTCAAAGGTTTCACTCCCTTCCTCCTCCACCCCCCATGCCTTGGCAGGGCCAGGCCACGTGACTTCTCAGGCCTTATATGGCCAGTGGGCCGGACGTTCCCCACCCCTGATTTAGATCTTTGGCTTAAATAGATAAGGCCAGTGTGAATATGATTTCAATTTCTAAAGGGTTGAAAAACCCAACATAAAAAATATATTTTAAAAATAGTTCCCACGTGAACATTAAACTAGTATTTCTGAATGTACGTACACCAAGATAAACACAATATCACCTATGCTTAGATAAGATAAAACCTTATTAACTATGGCAATGTTGTATCTTAATTTCTTGTAAACTCATTGGTGAGCAGTTGGTTAGTGAAAATTGAAATTAAATATCACTTAAGAGCAGCATTTGTCCAAGTCTTTCAAAATACAGATTTTAGGGGTCAGAAGGTTCTGTTTTACCGAAACTCTGTTTATACCAGTATTTTGTGCTTAAGAGAGTAATACTTTTTTTTAAGTCAAATGTTAAAGACTTGCCTCTTGAGTCTTAAAATTCTTAACATTTCAGAGAGAATGTGGGCTAACAAGTCAGTAAACTAGAAACTATAACTAACACCACGCCGTCAAAGAATGTTGCCTTTTGTGTTGGTCTAACAATTTCCATTTTTTCCTAAAACAGGGATTTTAAGCTTTTCCAAGCACGAATGCTATGGAGGACTGCTTTTGCTCACTCACCTACTTAATTAGGGGTCTCCTTTCTCAGAGTAAAAATGAGAAAAACAGAATTTCTTCTCTGCCAATGAGGAAATAACGGTAAAATCTCTCCCGTTTCTCACCCTTCCCAGGAATCACAAGACGTGCGATTGAGCTTGTCTTTCTCAGACGTTAAAACCAGGCACGTCCTTGGTCCGGGGGGGTGTGGTCCATAGTGTGCATACAGCAACACACAACACTTAGTTGCTGACATTTAAAAATTAAAGTTGTTCAAATGAAAGTCCAGATTTCTAGCTTCTCTTAAACAGTGAGAGGAAGAGAGCCCCATATGCGCCTCTCTGTGACATGTGCCAGCCCTGGAGTCATTCACAGGACCAGCATCAAGGTGTCTGCTCCATATTCTCTGACAGCCCGGCCAGGGGTCGGGGAGGGGGTGGGGTGGGGACAGGGCAGTGCCCTGGGAACACGGCGCCCCACGGTGGGGAGGATGGGCATCAATGCTGGTGCTCTGGGTCCTGCTGGGGAACTGCAGCGTCAGGTGGTAAACAGCGAGACTGGAGCAGCGACGGGCGCTTTCCTGGGTTGACATGTGTCTTTCGTGCCAGAGATACAAACGACGAGGCAATGTCTGAGCCTATTAATCCAATCAGGAGGAGAAAAAACGCCACTCGGGGGAGACAGCAGAGAGAGAGAGGGACGTCACGTGGTCGGAACAATCAATGAAATCCACTTATCAAATAGATTCCTCCGTATTGATACACCATTTCCCCAAAGGCCACTGAATGGACTCGTAGCGATGGTTAGGTTAAGCGGAGGCAGCACTCACGGTTACTGTTCAAAATGTTAGCTCCTGTCTTTTCTTCTAGGCAAATGGTGAGATTGTATTTCCCTGCTGGGTTGATCTTCGGCAAAACCATGTGACTTGTTTGGACCAATGAAACACGAGTGAAAAAGTGGGACATGCTTTCGTTGATCAGCTGCCTCCTGCACACCCCGTACAGGGGGCGGAGCCCACAACCCTCGCATGTGCCCTCCTGGTTCATAGGTGGACAAGCAACCACTGAGCCATGCCCACTGGACCATGCTTTTTTTCTTTATATCATTGATTAATTAAGACTTTAAAAATCTAGTCTTATTCTAAGCACTACCTATTAGTTATATTTCAATTACGGAGTATGTTTTACTAGGCATCAGAGTAAATACATAACTAGTAACAGTGATCTGACACGACCTTTCAGGAAACACAGACGTGAAATAGGAAGGAAATGAATGGTTAGGCTGCCAAATAAGAAACTGCTCTCCAGTTTCACCATGGGCTCCAAGTTTTATGTTTTTATTCCTCACCTGAGGATATGCTTTTGTTGATTTTTAGAGACAGAGGAAAAGGAGAGAGAGAAACATCAATCGGTTGCCTCCCGAATGTGTCCCTCACCAGGAATCGAACCCACACCACAGCCTTTTGCTGTACAGGACGATGCTCCAACCAACAGAGTCAAGCAACACGGGCTGTTTGGGCTCCAAACGTGAACGCCATGCCAATCTTTAGGGATCCATTCTATACTGTTTCCTTGACATAACAGAAGCCAGAAAGGGATGTATATTATGAACTTAAAATGTGTGTGAATACACCGTATCAGGTATGTCTGCAAAATCATTAATAAGGACAACATCGCCAGCGCAATGATCTAATTTGCATATGCAAATCCAAAGGTGCCCAGGGGTAAAGGGTAGATGCACTCAACGTTTTACAGGCTTCCCCATTGCATTCTTGAGTCCCTGACCTTTAGCATCAATTAAAACCATTATGGATACAGCTGGTAAGTGTTATCTTATGGGTAACACTTGCATAATCACCATCTCCAACAGACCGAGTAGATTTCAGAAAGGGGAGGTACATTTTATAGGAATAACGGCTAAGGAAACGTCTTAGAGATGCCTGCCATTTGCTGACATGGGTAACTGACATCTGACCTAAAACCCCAAACAATATATATATACACATATACATATACATACATACATATATATATATTTATGATGTATACACGACATGCATTCTAAATGTAGTTCAAGTATAAAAATCACACAGGCGAAGAGTTCAGAAATCAGTTAAAACCCTGTTGTTTCAAAACGTTGTGATTAAAATAATCAAACCACGTCGTCTGTAGAATGTGTTCCGGGATCAGAGATACTACCTTCAGAAAAGGAGCGGCTGACGGGAGACATAACAGCCGCGGCCAAATATTTGAGGGGGGGTTGTAGCAAAGAAGAACTGCATTGATTCGTTCATGCAAAAGGAAGAAGGGTGGAGAAAGGTGGGGAATTCTACCAAAAGAGCATTTAGGCTAAAATTAGGAGAGAGAATCTGGGCTGCTCGTCTCTGGACCTCGCATGCTGTCTCTCCATGCAGGAGAGCTTCACAGACTTTGCTTTTGTTTTTTTTTTTTATCCTCATGCGAGGAGATTTTTTCCATTGACTTTTAGAGAGAAAGGAAGGGAGGAAGGAAGGGGAGGGGGAGAGAGTGAGAGAGACATCGATGTGAGAGAGACACATCCATTGGTGGCCTTGCCACACCTACCCCAACTGGGGCTGGGATGGAACCTGCAACCCAAGTGCGTGCCCTTGATCGGGAAGGGAACCCGTGACCCCTCGGTGTGCGGGCCGACACTCTAACCACTGAGCACATCGGCCAGGGCGTACACTGTTGACATCAAAGATGATAAAGACCTCCCTCTCCCCAAGCTTCAGTTCTCTGATCATCACTCAGTCTATGAACACCAGACAGTGAGTGGCCCCTTCTAGAACCACTGAGAAGGGACCAAAACATGACTACAGGCCAATCAAGTATTAAAACATGTCAAGACAGTACCTCTCACTTTCTCTCAGCACGGCCCGTCCTTTCTTCCAGGTGTAGATGGGTTTTGGAGACGCTTTGGGCTTGCACTCAATGACGACGTCGCCGCCCACTTTGACAAGAGTTACCCTTTTTAAGAGGGCTCTTGAAAAATCTGGGCCAGCAGCTGGAAGAGAAGATAGCAAACAATTCTTTTTTTTAAAATACAGTTTTATTGATTTCAGAGAGGAAGGGAGAGGGAGAGAGAGAGAAACATCAATGATGAAAGAGAATCATTGATTGGCTGCCTCCTGCACGCCCCCTACTGGGATCGAGCTCGCAACCTGGGCATGTGCCCTCACTGGGAATGGAACTGTGACCTCCTGGTTCATAGGTCGATGCTCAGCCACTGAGCCACGCCCACCGGGTGAGGGCTCTTTAACAAAATTCCATGTTCAGGGAAACAGGAACTAGTGGGTCCTAGAGCCAGGGAAGCCTGACCCCTCGCTGGAGGCAGAAATGACAACACTGATGCTGTCCGACTTCAGGCGCATCACGGGAGGCGGGCCCTTTGGAAAAGATGATGATGCTGGAGCCATAGGAGGCAGCAGGACAAGAGCAAGACAGACATGGACGGACAGACTCCATGAAAGGAGCGGAGGCATGAGCCTGCGGGACCAGAGCTGGGCTGTGAGGACGGGACACGGAGGACATAGCTCATTTATCGGGTCGCCAGCTCCTGGCATTTAACACACACACACCCTGGAGAGAGAGGAGGCGATGCACGAGGCATTTCTCTGACTGTGCAGGTGGGAGCGTCCCCTCGGGTTCCGCGGCTGCCCCTGCTCTGGCCCAGGCTCTGCGCGCGTCTCACTGGAGAACAAGCGGAAAGGCCTGCGTCACCCCCGCTGTGAGCTGCCCCTTAGACACCAGGGCTTTGTCCAGCCCCCACCACGCCTGCCCAATGCGAGGCTGCCTCTGGGGGGCGGGGGAGGGGGAACTGTGACTCCCGCTCAGAAAGCGCTGTTCCATGCCCACCGCCCGTGTCTAAGAAACTCACTCCTGCCACGCCAGGTCTCGGGTGTGTGGACAGAACATGAAAGAATCATTTCTTGTCTAAAACAAAATATGCGTATCTGTGTCCTCGTGGAAGGGAGAGAAAGGACGCCCTTCTGAAAAGCCTCCTTTGCTTCCGCGTTAAGTGCACGCGCATGTCCTAGGGCCCGTGGCGAGCAGGGATTCGTCTCCCAGAAGCTTAATCCTAACCCATCTCCAAGCCCTGCCCCTGCAGGGACCCGATGTGACTGGAGATTAGTCTGAGCATGAGGTGGAAATACTAACTACCACCCACCGGGAGTGAGCCTGTGTGTGTGTGGGGGAGAATGGGTGTCCATGTCTGACATGTCCAACCATATGCTAATTTATTTAAAAAAATAAACACGTTCCAGGGGAAGCAACTTAAATCCTTATGAAGTGTGCTTGTTGTGAAGAAAAAAAATCTTCCGTAATTTCCCAGAAGGAAATGCTGCCGGAAGGTCCCTTTGTCACGGGGATGTTGTGGACACAGGGTCTGGTTTTACGATGCGAAGGAGAAATGAAGGACATGGATCAGCAGGCAGCCGGGGTCTCGGTCTGTGCACCTCGGACGCACGAGGGCGTCCCTGACTCGGAGGTGCAGCTAACAAGGAGTGTGAACACAGACGCTCCTGCTGTAATGAGGTAAACGCATTCCTGGTATGATCGCAGCCACAGCCTAAAAACATGCAGGTTAGGAAAGAGAGGGTCAGGGCCGACCTATCGATACTCATGTACCAAGAACACTAACCAAATCAATAGCCATCTTAGTAAATGTATTAGCATGAGGAACAAGACAAGTTACATTCCTAACAGATAAATGCAGAGCTTGTGTGCATGTGTGCATGCATGTGCAGACAGCTTGATGGAAGGGTGGAGAAGGAAGGATCGAGATGGCTAAGCTGAAGGACGTGCAAACTGCAGGAAGACTAGAGGGGAGATCCCGCAAGCCCGGCCAAGCTGAGCCAGAGCAGGGTGTGGGGTGAGCAGGACCATGGTCGGGTGTTTGCGTGGCCAGCGGTGTGGGTGAGTGACGGGCTCTGTGCTGGGTGCTGCGGCGAGGGAGACGGGTGAGAAACGCCCGCACCCAGTGAGCTCACTTGCAGCACAGAAAGGTTCTTGTGGCAAAGACTCATTCTCATCCTTTTTAAAATATATATATTTTTTTATTGACTTCAGAGAGGAAGGGAGAGGGAGAGAGATAGAGAAACATCATGATGAGAGAGAATTGTGGATCAGCTGCCTCCTGCATGCCCCCTACTGGGGACCCAGCCCGAAACCTGGTCTGTGCTCTGACTGGGAATCGAACAATGACCTCCTGGTTCATAAGTCAGTGCTCAACCGCTGAGCCACACCGGCTGGGCTCATTCTCATCTCAGGAAACACCTGAGTTGACATAATAATGTAAAAAAAAATTAAGTCTCTAGAGGTTTTTTAAAAAAGGGTATTTTGCGAAATAGAGTTACAATAAACTCCCTTCTTAAAACTCTATCTCTCTACACATATATTTTCATGGCTGTAGGCCGACATTGTTCATCTGTTCCGGAGGAATTCTGCATTGGATTCTGAAATGAGTTTACATAAATCAAACTATGTGTGTGTGTGTGTGTATGAAAAACGATATTCTGTTTTTATGGGATTTGAAATAGCATCATATCAGCCCCACGGGAGGCAGAAGGCACAGGTGCCCATTTCCGAAGCATCCGCACCACACTGTGGGCGGGGCCACTGTCCCGAGGCCATGTGCCTGGAGACAAGGCCGGCCTTGAGTGTCTGGTACTAATAGACATGGAATTCTCAATCCAAACCTTTCCCCTCTGCTTTCTTAATCCGCTCCCGTCACTTCTAGTGTGACCGAACCCTGCCTGCCTCCCGGGCGAAATGGTCAGGTCAGTTTTGGATGCGTGGCCATGGGTGGCTTCTAACATCCACCAGCTGCTGACCCTCTGTGTGCGCCTGAGAGGTCCGTAAGCTCCTGGGGTGACACTTGGTCCTGCCTGGACCCCTGTACTGGTTCTGATTCCCAGACACGGACCCGAGAGGCTGGAAGGAACAGCACAAGGAGCCTGCTTGCTCCGTGTGACGGTCACAGAGGAGGTATAAACGCTACGGGAAGGTCCCAGGAGGACCCTGTCAGAACCCAGCCTCGCTGGCATTTAAAAATGACCGCACCTGCCCAGCCGGTGTGGCTCAGTGGTTGAGCGTTGACCTGTGAACCAGGGGGTCCCGGTTCGGTTCCCCGTCAGGGCACATGCCCGGGTTGCAGCTGCATCCCCAGGGTGCGGAGCACATCACATTCCTCTGTAAACTGGCTCCAGGAGCCGAGGGATCCAGTGCAGACACAGATGAGCACGTGAGAAAGTCCCTGTGAAATAGCTCGGAGCTCAGCCTTAATGCTTTTCTAATTTGTGAGCCAATCATCTGGATAAAAGCCAAATTGCTCAGATAATTGCTGGAGCCCGTACCTCCCTTGAATTGGCCCTGATGGAACTCGCAGGGTAAGGTTCTTCCCGACCTCTCCACCCGCCGTGGGAGAGTCCCCACGACGCTGAACCCGGAGACAGAAAGCCCTCGGGGCACAGCCACCTGGGTTCCATCGCACGGTCCTGGCAAAGTCAGGTCATGGTCACGGGGCCTCAGGGAAAAGGGACCCCCTGCAATTAGGGGCAGCTCCTCCCTTGTCCAATTCAGGTGCCTGTTATGACCAGGTCAGCAGGACCACGCGACCAAGTATCTTGGCCTAGCTCAGCCCCTGTCTCTGGAGAGAGCCCTGGTGGTCCCGCCCACCTCCATATACAATAATTTAAAAAAAAATATTTTTATTGATTTCAGAGAGGAAAAGAGAGGGAGAGAGAGATAGAAACATCAACGATAAGAGAGAATCATTGATCAGCTGCCTCCTGCACGCCTCCTACTGGGGCTCGAGCCCACAACTTGGGCATGTGCCCTGACTAGAATCGAACCCAGGACCCTTCAGTCTACAAGCTGATGCTCTATCCACTGAGCCAAACCAGCGAGGGCTCCTCTGGGAGTTTGTAGAACGTGTTCTTGTTCCTCCAGCACCATCGTCTATCTCAAGCCTCCTTGCCCCCCGTCTTGCACGGAACATTTTGTTGGGCAGAGCCCCGGTTCGCTTAGTGACTTGGCTGATTTTCCTTTATTTTTCCTGCCCCGCGTGAGGACTCACCTATGACGCTCAGCTCGGCGCTGGAGAAGACGGCCCCGTGTCTGTTCTCGGCAACACACTGGTACATGCCAGCGTCCGCCAGGCTCACCCCGGTGATGTTGAGTGAGCCTTGCTCGATGTGAACCCTGTCCTGTGGAAGGCAAGGTGGAGATGGACGGTGACCTTCGATAGCAAGGACCCTGAGGCTGTTTGGCTACATGTGACATCAAAGGGCCTGAATGGGAAGAAAATAGCCACCATCCAAGCAATTTTCATAACTTGATGTATTTATCTGGCAGCTAGCTGTGGGGCAAGTCAGAGGGTGAACCAACAGCACATACATCAACCAGAAGACGGGGTGTAAATGGTAGGCCCCTCTGGAGTCCTCACTGACTTAAGAGCGAACCCATTCAGATAAATATGTCTGCCGAATATATACACTTAACGTTTGAAATGCATTTTCAAAATACATTTTTATTGATTTCAGAGGGGAAGGGAGAGGGATAGAGGGACAGAAACATCAATGATGAGAGAGAATCACCGATTGGCTGCCTCCTGCACATCCCCTACTGGGGATCAAGCCCACTACCCAGGCATGTGCCCTGACTGGGAATCAAAACCTGAACTCCTGGTTCATAGGTTGACACTCAACTACTGAGCCACGCCAACTAGGCTGTCTGCTTATGTTTTCAAAATATCTTATTTATTATGTACATGATTCCTTCATTTATCTCTTTGAGCATTATACGGAGACATTCCTATTTCTTTGTTGGACTCTTAGGTCAGTTACCTTTCTAAAAAATGTTTTTTTGCATATGATTTGGAATACTTGTTTGCTGGCTTGTTCTTAACATGTTAAGCGCTATGTCAGTCACCAGTGACTGACACTATACTGGACCGCGTCTGTCTCTGGCCGCCAGCATATCGGTGAAATCGGATATCGCGGGCTAAACGGAAAGGAAGACAAAACAGGCTTGGCGCTTAACGTGTTAAAAGGCGTTATTTTGGTTTGTTTGGCTTTTCCCTCAAGTAGCAGTTTTGTGGCTGTTACGACTTCTCTGAGCCCTGACCTGCGGGCACACGGGGGCTATTGCAGCTCCTGTCCCAGGGCCGGGGGTGGGGTGGCCCAGTGCTGTCCGCCCCTCTTTCTGGCTATGGACTACAATTTCCAGAATCCCCTGCAGCTAGAGGTAACCATATACCTAAGAGTCGTACTAAGCCAGGTGGCTCACTGGCTGCCTGTGACACTGGGTGGCAGTAGGTGTGTGGGGGTATCTACACCCCAAGCCTTAGCTCTAAAATTATTGTCTCCAGAGAGGAATTTGTACACCTGAGCTCCCTGTTCCCACCGCCTGCTCCCAGGCCTGCAGGCCGGAGCCTCGAGCCGCCATCACCTGCAGAGTTTGCTCCATGTGGCCTGAGAGGTGCTGAGCTTGTGTTCTTTGCCCTTTCTGCATGCCAGAGGCAGAGGGGGCATCTGCCCAGTGATCCCACTGCACCCCGCTGTGCAGAAGTCTCCCCAGAGGGGTGCGAGACGGCACTGACAGGGGATCTGGATGCCTGGGCCCACTCACCGTGCCCCGCACACCGATCTCTCTCTCTCTCCACACAAATTCGCGCCCCAGGCCGCCTGCATGGCTTCCAATGGCAGAGCCAGGGACGTTCACGTGGGAGGTCCATGCTCTAGTCTAGACGCGGATGAGCCGGCCGCAGGGTCTGCTCACCAAGTGCATTCACGTGCACATGTTTCACTGTTAATGGCAACTGGTTGCATATTATTTTGGAAATGATTCATCCTTTCCCTGTTTCCATAGCAACAGGGCCACCTTAGACATGACAGTGGGCACCGGCCACTTGCTTACCTGAGCGAACAGCGGCTCCCCGTTCTTCAGCCACCTGTACGTGGGCCGGGGCCTCCCGCTGGCTCTGCATTCCCAGGAGACGCTGTCCTCGATGGCCACTTGGATGTCGCTTATTTTTTGAATCCAATTGGGTTGAGCTGTAGCCGTGTAGAAAGCAAAGATGGCATTCAGTGTCTGCTCAATTTATTAAAAAAATTTTTTAAAAAAATATGTTTTTTCTTGATTTTTAGAGAGAAAGGAAAGGAGAGGGATAGAGAGTTGGAAACATTGATCGGGTGCCTCCGACTGGGGATCGAGCCCGAAACCTGGGCTGACCAGGAATTGAGCCGTGACTTCCTGGTCATAAGTTGATGCTCAACCATGGAGCCATGGTGGCTGTATCTTGCTTGATAACAAACAAAACTAGGAGAGCACGGGACATGCCCCTTAACCAGCACGGTGTCCAGAGGCCTGAATGAATGCCTTCTCCCTTTGCCACCGAGAAGCAGTCTCGTGGGTTTCAAAGAGGAGACACAGTTTACCAATCCTCTGCTGACGGAGCCGTGCTGCCTGGGAGGCGAAGCCGGGAGGGTCAGCTCTCAGAGAAAGTATGACACCAACCCCACCGACTTGAACGCAGGGCCGAGACCTTCCTCCCTGATGAGCCCCGTGTCCGCTGCTCCGTGTCTGCTGCCGGCCGTGCAGAGGCAGCCCCAGAGCAGCCGCCTTCTCAGCTCTGCTGGGAGCACAGCGGGGGGTGGAGTGGCTGATGGGCTGATGGCCGTGGTGGGCCGGTTTCTCTTCCACCTGCTGGACGCCGACCCCCCACAGAGCCCAGGAAAGCAAAGCAATGGAGAAAGTTCTAGAAAGCTGTGTGGACTATTAACAACAAAGCCGGGCTTTTCAAAGAGAGCGCGGAGGGAAAAACTGTACCTCATGAAGCAATGTCAAGACCAAGCTCAAAAAGCAAACATGGGGACCACGTTCAGAGACAGGAGATTTCAGGACAATTGGGCTCATTCCTTGTTTTCCTTCAAAACCGCAGAGCGCTGGGGGCCAAACCTTGCCATCCGAGGGGGGAGTGGGCCTTGGAGGGAGGGCAGGCAGGGTTTTGCAAAGACCTTACAAAGTTCTCACTCCTTGAACCCACAGAGGGCTGGCCCCATCCTCTCCAGTAGGGTCACGTGTGCCCCCCTGAGGGGGGCGGTGAAGGATTAAAGAAGACAGCCCTCTCCAGTAGGGTCACGTGTGCTGCACTCAGCACGGCCGTGGGTGAACCTGAGGGGGGCGGTGAAGGATTAAAGAAGACAGACAAGAGAATAAAGCCGGGGCTAGGTGGGACGCTGCTCTTGGATGGAGAGACAGCACCCAGGCCTGCAAGCTGAGTTCTTTATTTTATAGCCGGATTCCAGGAGGCAATGTAAGGGCGTGGTCAAGATGTTTACAATGTTCTCGCGGGTTTCGAATCTACTCACTGACATGCACCTGATCAAGCTTTGTTTCCTTGCTGCACCTCCCACAGCCCACATCACTCAGCCACATGGGACCACTGGTTCAGACCATAATGTCAAGCTCACAACCATAGCCTTTGGCTATAATTATCTGGGAGGGCTTTGCCCTCCAAACTGGGACCGGCACGTGGCTTTGCCACAAGAGGACGGTGTCCTCTTATTAGTCTGAGGTTTGAACCTGTCCAAACACTGTAGCCCCTCTCCACAGTCACGGAGGTCAAGGGGCGTGGCAGGAGTGCTCAGTGGTTATCCATGCAGGCCCAGGGGAAGCCAAGCATCAAGTCAGCCTTTGTAAGACATCCTCAGGCACTTCTTTGATTTGGAAGTGAAATTAACTCACAGAAGCCCAATTTGCAATGATATAAACATTTTCTTTTAGAAGGGCATGTCTGGACACGGGCCCGGGGAGATGGGGAATGAAACAGCATCTTACATAAGCGGCAAAGAATGAGATAATCTTCCTTTTAACACACCGAGTGCAGCGTGACGGGGCAAAGGCCCACCCGGCTGCCACCGCCGCTCACAGTGGATGAGTCACATCTCTGCGGGGAGTTTTTGGAGCTAAAGTTCTGGGCTGATGGAAATCTTTCCTCTTTCTCTCTTATGCCTTCAGGTCACCCAGTTCCAAGTCCATGGATAACAAAGAGTCCATTTCAGAGCCTGGCAGAAAGCATGGCTTGCTTCCCTTTTTTATGATGCACGTGGGCCCATGGTGTTTATCCCTGATGGGCTGGACTGTTCTAGAACTCCAGGCCTGAACACCATCTCTGAGGAAGGCCTGAGCTGGATGGCTCAGCACTATTATTTCAGAAGGAAGGTAGAGTCTGAATTCTGGGCAATGGAGGTAGATCCCACATATCACATAGAATTCAACACACCCACCCACGAGAACAGAACCATGCTTTGGGCCAGTGATCACCAATCTTTTGGACCTCACGGGCCACTGGTTGACGATCGCTGCTTTGGGCGATGCATGCCCTTTCTAGGTGTGAAGTGGAAGAATCTCTCCTCTAAAACATCTGAGGTCTTGATCTCAAGCGACACCTTCAAATATAAGGTTCACGGTTGTGTTGAACTTGACCCCCTGACACTGTTCGTCTCCGGGACGGATGCTCAATCCCTTCATTTCCATCTTTGGTTCAATCACGGCCAGGAAGGACCTACATCGATGCTTGCGTTTGGGTTCCAGCCGCTGGAATCGTGCGAGTTTCGCATCTGACACCCAGTTCTATTGACGATGAATGTTACACGAACTTGGTGGCCGAACAATCCCCAGGGCTGTTTGGCTCCCTGATCCTCCAAACCAGGAGTTTTTAATGGAAACAAATGCCAGCATGAGCCGTAGAACTTAGAAATTAAAAAATGAGCCCGGCTGGCATCGCTCAGTGGTGGAGCGTCGACCTATGAACCAGGAGGTCATGGTTTGATTCCCGGTCAGTGCACATGCCCAGGTTGTGGGCTGGATCCCCAGTGTGGGGCGTGCAGGAGGCAGCCGATCAATGAGTAATTCTCTCTCTTCATGGATGTTTCTCTCTCTCTCTCCCTCTCCTTCCTTTTTGAAATCAATAAAAAATTATATTAAAAAAACCCCAAAACATAACAACACTAAAAACTATTTTAAAAAAAACTAACGGGAAGGGCAGATGGGAGGGCGCGTTCACACTCGCATGACGGAGCTGGCCCGCAGCCCTGCAGATCACGTCCCCTTGCTGCTCACACCGTGGAGAACAGGAATCAACTCCCGAGGCCTGGCGAACGTGCGTCAGACGGTCACTGGTTGCGGGTTTTTGAGCCCAAAGATAGGAACTTGGTTTCAGTTGAGCACCTATAGGCAGGCGCTTCCCAAATCTTCACCCGGCCTGGGCTTCTTTTCTGTGGGCAGATCACTGCCCGGGTCCCGGGTGCCAGAGGGAAGCCGGTGCCGACAGCCAGGGGACGGAGGCCTATTCTTGCATGACATTGTACATTGGGCCTCTAGCACTGTTATAAATATCCACATGGCCCTTGGCAGGAAAATAGCTCCCCACCCTGAACCATTCTTGCATAATAGCCGATCTATACATTCATTTCCAACACCCCGGACAGATGGGCTCAGGCGTGTTCCTGTTTGGCAGGGTGCCCCACCGAGCGAAATGCTTTTCTGGACCCCAAACAGATACACTGACAGGGTTCCATGTGGGCTCCATTGACGACCACGTGCGGGAGGTTCTACATTCATTAACAGCCGGGTCGGAGCGGAGGCCTGAGTGGGACAGGCGCAGCCGCACATAAGGTGTGTCCGGGGTGAGAGCTCTCCACTCCGATCAGGACGACACCAGGACCACGTGTGTTCCCCCATGTTCATGAAATTGCCACCAAGGAGGACGAATGACCAAGGATTGACACGAGCCCCAAATCAAAACCCAAAAGCGTAGAGCTTTACAAGAGCGTGACAAATAAACTGGGAGGAGGAATGACGTTTCCGGCGTCAGGCTTACAGCTGATAGTGGGCGGGAAAACAGCCCCTGTGTGATGTGTTCACAGCAGCATCGCCCCAACACTTCAGCCG